AGAGAGAGAGAGAGAGAGAGAGAGAGAGAGAGAGAGAGAGAGAGAGAGAGATAAAGATGATATGTATTTAATAGCAAAAAAAGGGGGGCAAATCATCACACCACAAAGCACTTGTCAACTGGCTGATTGAGCAACGCAAAGGAACTCTTGTTTGAGAAAGAGAAACAGATCGACACAATAATGGCCACTTAGTGCTGAGAAAAAGTACGATGGACAGACTGTTTTCAGTTTTAGTAAGCATTTCACGTCACTTGCAACACAATACGGTCATATAAGTGCCGAAGATTAGAAGTGTGTTATACAAGTAAGAGAGTAATAAACACAAAAAGGAGGAGAGATAAGGACGATAGACGTTTGATAGGAAAGAAGGAGCAACCAACACCAGAGCACCCGCCAATCACCCGCACATACAAGAACAGAAACAACAGGCAGACAGAAACAACGGGGTGAAAGTAAAGAAATAGGGCCTACCATTTGCTTCCTACCCCCCAACCACAGAGCAACACAAAGGAGGGAATAAACTAGAGTAGACCAAACGTTGGACACCCAAACCAAAGACTCTCTACTGGTAGAGAATCTTTGCCCAAACCACTTACCCTTCGGGAAGCTCGTTGGGATCGTAAGGTATGGAGGGCGACACCTGTGACTCGGTGGCCGGGTGCATGGAGCCCCCTCCTCCACCGCCGCCCCTGTCTCTGGATATCAAACTGATGACGATCTGGCCCCTCACTGTGTCCGTGTCGTCAGAGTTTTGCCGCTGCAGGTCCAGCCGTTGAACTGTTGAACAGGACAAAGATGCTTGGAATGAAAATGTGTTTCATCACATTAATTCTAGGTTTCCATGTGTTTATTTCAACACATTATTAAGTGAATGAAGAATTTTTTTTTTTTTTTATGTTACACAAAATTTTCAAATTAAGAAAGAAGGAACATGGAAATGATTTTGGGGAGAGGGGTTGGGGGGTTAACGATGCAATAGACAATTTGGTCTAACGATTTAAAATTCTGGATACAAGAATAAGATGGGTTGAAGTATCTTGCTATCTCTTCCTGCTCAAGTGTCAGGACTCAGAGATTTCACAAAAATGAACAATGTTTCCAACTGAACAACACTTAGCTTAACAGAAATTAGCAAAGGGTAAAGTCAGTGCTGATAGCCGAAACATACAGCGAACTGGAGCAAAGTAAAATAAAATAAAAGAACACAAATAAAACAATGAATTAATAATAATAACAACAACAACAACAACGATAACAGACATGTCATACAAAACAAATGTACACGGAAAAACAGATCGACTGCTCTGTGGTTCCGTCATTCGCCACTTTTTTAAATGGCGTATGGTACGGAGTCTTAGTCTAAGCAGTCGAGATACTGAACAAGACAATACATAAATGTGCATATTTCTATTAAAAATACGCCATGCAAAGTTTGAGGAAAAAGAAGCGCATTGACACAATAACGGTCACTTACTGCCAAGAAGAAGCAAGATAGGTAGGCAGGAACAACAGGGGGAGAGAGGGAAAAAGTAGAACCTGCCAGTGGCGCCATTCAACCAACCACACACTCGCCACGCAACACCAAAGTTCAGAGAACATGTTTATAAACTTTATATCTACGTACTGCGACTTACATACAGGCATCGAACCACCACACACACACAACAAAGCAGTAAAAGAAAACTCCCTTACTGTACACCTGCGGCACGTTGAAAACAGAAACTAAAAGCTTTGGGCACACGAAAAGGACAGAGGTCCTGCGCCATTCTTAAAAAAACAAAAACATGCCATCATAATATACACAAGTACCCAGACATGTTTTGAGCAATTAAAAAAACACCCCAAAAACAAAACCAAAGCAAATAAAAATCCAACCCTAAGCCCCAGCGACGCGTCTGTGATCATGGGATCATCAATCTTCGGCAGACACGATGGTGGACGTTTACGAGACGGGTGCCGTAAGACGATCATAAAGTGAGTGTCATTGAGAAGCAGAGAGCTACACCCATGTCTTGTAACGTTATAAAGGAAGGTGATAACTCAGGGGGCAGTGGTCGTCGTCCACTTGTGTGTGT